AACCGCTTAGAGAGGGCTGAAAGCCCTATGAAGCGGTATATAAGTCTAACTGCTATTGCTATTGCTATTCTGCATCTCTTTGCTTCCCTCTAATGATCATCTCCATTTTTGTCATGACTCAGTGTCGGTGGTAATCCTGTTCTGTTCCTGGTGTTTGCTCCCATTGTTTACTAGTAACTGATAAACGACCTGACTCACTGAGTTGGTACACTCTGAATTTAGACTTCCTATTGTTTAAAAAAACACAAAGTTATCTGTATTCTTCTGTGTTTCTCACAAGTAGGTGCACTATCCAGGAAGCAGATATGATAAACTACCTGTTAATTTAGTGGCATGCATTTTTTCTTTCTTTCTTTTTTTTTTGAATTTAAAGTTTTATTTTTATTCTCTTACATACCATTTTAAGTATACATTCACATAATGGTTATTCTTCTTCACATTTATCATTCTTATACATTTATTATTTCATTTAATAGGTTATAATATAGTTTGGGCTGCTTTATTTACCATTCCTTCCGCCTGTTGTAACACCACCTTCGTTTCCCTTTCTTTTCTCCCTCCCTCCCTTCTTCCTTCCTTCCTCTTCTTCTTCCCCTTCCTTCTTCCGTTCCCTTTCTCCTTCTCCTATTCTTCCCCTTCCCCTTCCTACCCTCTCCCCTTCCATCCTCTCCCTTCCATCCCCCTCTCTTCACTTCTTTCTTCTTTCCTCCCCTCTTCCTTTCCTTCTCTCCTCCCCTCTCTCTTTTCTATTATTGTAAGGGTCTCTTTCAGGTCTCAGTTTATGCTTCCTTGGGATGATATTTCCGCAAACCCAAATATAATTTGATATCATTTCTTATTCCCTTACCATCGCTAATCTATCCTAACTATATTCCACCCCCCTTCATGTCTGACTCTTGGATATATACATATACATATACATACATACATACACACACATACATACATACATACATACATACATACATACATACATACATATATATCTTTTTCTTTTCCATTTAACAGTGCATCGTCTGGGTTCTATATCTTCTCCCTACTTTCATCACAGTCTTAATGTACTTTCCAAACCAGCGTTTTCTATCATTAAAAATTTTTTTGCTTCTGAAACCAGTTTCAATGCTTGTTAGAACTGAGCAACAGGGTGGTTAGGATTTTACATTTGGAATATGGCTCTGAGACAAATTACTGTCTCTTTTCTGGTACCAAGAACTGGTCCTGAAAATATACACATATCACCTCATTTTGTGGCTGAAATTTCCCAAAATATAAAATGGCAAAAACCCTGAGGGATCAACAGAAGAGGTAGATGCACAGTCTACTCAAATAGCATACTTAATACATTTCATTTCTGTTTGAATGCTCCAAAATGTTGACAAATCATCATCACTTGAATTCCTTTATGCCATATTATTTGTAATAGAAAATGTGTGTGTGTGTGGAGAGAGAGAGAGAGAGAGAGAGAGAGAGAGAGAGAGAGAGAGAGAGATTGATTCATGTGCATATTTATATGTGCTATAGTTTAATTCTTTGAATTCTGGTCACATAACTAACGAAGTAGTTTTCATTGAATTCTACTTTTATATAGGCATGGACAAAAGTGCCCATGTTATTCAATTCAGCTAGGTAAAATGGTTAATTCACTTTCAATTAATCAAGGAATCATTTTATCAATCAATGACGATTCTTCAATAAAAAAGAATCCTTTTAACAGAAGCGTTATCGTTGCTGCATGCCAAGATCATATTAACTACTAATTTTTTAAAAAATCTTGTCTTCCTGCTACTTAGCATTAAATGTTTAATCCAGAGGATTATGAAAGAGTAAGGGCAAGGGGAAAAAAGGAGTTCACTCAAACACAGCTAAGGTTTGCCTCTCAATTAGGATAGTAGATCTTGTGGACTGAAAACGTTTGAAAACTCTGGCTTAATCCATCAAAGGAAAATGAATCAGCTACCTGTCAATTTTAAGACGTTTTAAACTTCTGAATGGACAAGTTCAGACTGTTGCTTTGGACAGCAGAAGGAGAGAGGGCAGTGGACAAGGGTTTTGGTTGAAAAGTTACGGGAAAGAGATTTCTAAATTAGACCATGCAGTTAGTCTGTAATTTTAACAGTTACTTAGAGGTAGAATGTATGTGCATGTGTGTATGCACACACACAAACAGCATATGTTTGTGTGTGCATACGCATGCAGATACACATTATGTTATTTAGTTGAGTAATGAAACATCTATAAGCAAATAACCAAGTTGAAAAAGTGTTAAACTATTTTTTTTATTTTTTTGAGAAGTTATTATATTTTAAAGATAGGTAACTATGTTGGGGATTGAAGTAGTATTCTTCCCCCCGCCCACAAAAGAGGACTTTAGTGCACTACTTAATAAAAGGAAACTTAACCCTAGCCTTCAATTATTGTTTTTTAAAATGCTAATTAGAAAACATACTTTGTAAAGTATCTTGCCAGCCCAACATAGATGCCATGTAGATCATTAAAAACAGGACATTTTTCAAATTAAAAATTATACTCTGTTCTACTGCATCCATGCCACTCAACAGCAGTTTGCAGAAATTAATGTTATCTTAGTAAATACATGAATATATTGTTGTGACCATCAGTTGGAACCTCGTTTAAAGCAGCGGCAGGAAATTGTGTTCCTTCAAAATGACTGTGTCTGTTTCTCACTGTTGACTCCCACATTAACTGGGGAAAACAGTAGGTTTTCTACTCCTTTAAAAATGAAATCTTTCAAAATATATAGTCTTCCACTTTACTTGATCAGCCGTGCTTATTGTGGTTTAAAATGATCCCCCCCCTCCCTCCACTCATGGAATTGAGCTTCAGAGCCCTGAAAATGCAGTGCTGCTAAATTATAAATAAATGGAAAAAATATATTTCTTTTGGCCTGATCACTATTGTCTGATAGCTTCCCAAAAAATTAAAATGCTGTTTTTAATGCTGGTAAGCATATTTCAGGATTCAGGATTCAGGAATTTATTTGTATGCCACCCTTTTCCCTGGGGGGACTCAGGGTGGCTCACATCCAAAAAGGGAAAAGGGGAAACAGACTTTTACATATACGACAACACATAATTAAAAGAAAACACAACATTCATACCATTCGGGAGGGTACAATCTTAGCCCCAGGCCTGGCGGGATAGCCAGGTTCTGATGGCTGTGCGGAAGGTCTGGAGAGTGGTGAGGGTACGAATCTCCGCGGGGAGATCGTTCCAGAGGGTCGGAGCTGCCACCGAGAAGGCCCTCCTCCGCGTGGTCGCCAGTCGGCATTACCCTGCAGATGGAACCCGGAGGAGGCCCAATCGGTGAGATCTAATAGGTCGTGTGGAGGTAATTGGCAGTAGGCGGTCTCTCAAGTATTGTAATATAATAATATATATGTAATATAATGAATATATATTCATTATGAAATGTGTCATTAAATTATGGTATTTTCTTCCAAAACTGGTCATCAAACTTAGACAGCACTAAGGGGGATTGCTCAGATTTATGAATGGTTGAAACTATTAATCTATTATTCTCAGGTGCAAGAAGTCTGGAACCAAGATAAAGTTCAAAAGTACTACAGGTTTACTTCGTGCTACCTATACACGGTCAAGGCAAATTGGTGTCAGAT